CCCTTTCGAATATATATATATATATATATATATATATATATATATATATATATATATATATATATATATATATATATATATATATATAAAATAAAGATCCTGAAATCTCTGACTGAAACCCGTCCATCCTCTTGAAAGGAACTTCATTCCGTTTCTGGGCCGACTGCCCACATTGATCGGTTGTCTCGTCCACATTCAAGTTTCTGTGCGACCGGGTTACGAGCTTTTCATTTTTCAACAATGAAAGTGTTTCTGAAGCTGCTGCATTCACACGTACTGTTGGATCAATCAGCCCTTCACTGGGCACGGTGATCAAACGGTAGAGCCACGCCGTCATGTGCTCGTGCTGTCGCGTATGGTCCGCTACGCCGCTGCACGCCTCCACGTATGGACGGTTGTGGTTGGACGGGCCCTCACCCTCACGCGCCTGACATGGCGAGGCGTACTGCCTGCTCCAGGTGCTCAGGTGGGCAGGCTCGAAGATTTTCTACTGACACGTGGCTTTAAGTTTAAACACGACAGTTCCCATTCGTGGCAGTGGCAGGTAAATGCTTCTGCAGACGAAACTCTAGTGCTGCCAATCCTGCCATGCGTGGCCACTGGCCAGCCAGCCAGCCGCGCGGGAGGGAGGTGGGGGTGTGCAGAATGGCGTGGAATGGATCCTTGAGCAATTCCTATTGCCACTTCATGAGTTGTTCCTCTTCTTCGCAGAATCGCAGTCATGGCCCCGTGTCTTTGAGCCAGTGAAGTTAGTAGTACGTTTTCATCAAAAAAGAAAAGAAAAGAAAGTGAAGTTAGTACGCCTGCAGCTGCGGCGGAAGGTTCGAAGTTCAGAGAGATGGCGGTCTTTGATTGAGCCTGCTGTGTGTGTTTTCCAAAATGAGAGAAGGGCAGGCCATCAGATCAGAGCAGCTGAGGTGACTGTAATTAGTTTTTTTTTATTTATATTTAAACTTTATACATGCGGTAAAGATTCGCGCGAGAGATTTTTGTGTGGAGCCTGCTGTGTGTGACAAAATGAGAGAGGAGGAGCCATCAGATCAGAGCAGCTGAGGTGACTGACGGTGCCCAACAGCCGGTGCGCGAGAGAGAATTGTTGGTTGCGACGCGGAGGAGGAGCGGCAGCGCAGGCCCGTTAACGCCTCGTATAAGGCATAGATAAAAGGGATGATTTAATATGAGAAAAAAATATTGTTCGTTGATTAAAAAAGTACGCAAACGAACAGGCATGTGCTCGTTAACGGTCCGCGCGCGTGAGCTTTGTTTGTCTCCGTTCAAACGATCCGCTGCTTGTGGACCGCGACCGCCTTGGGTGAAGGTCAAACACAAGCATGTGAAGTGGACTGCGAGGCCGCCGAGGAAGACGAGCATGGAGGGGACTGTTTTGCTCTTTCCATCGCTCATTCGTTCCGTGGCAGCCATGGAGCCTGGAGGAGACTGGCGGGATCGCGTCCCAGCCCGTGCGTGGAACCTGGTATGCTGCCGGTACACGGAAGTAGCTATGCGCGCTCTACAGTCTACACCAACCGTGCTGTCTGCGCACCCACACTTTTCGAGTCAGTGACCAGGCCATATAGACGAGCCAAGCCAGCAGCACATGCCCGACCACCGCTAGCGACTTGCCGACTTGGACAACGAGCAGAGCTGCGTGGTTCCCGTTGGCATTCGATCGGCAGCTGTCGATCTCGCGTTTCATTCATGCCGCCGTGGGGAACGCCCGGAAGCGGTGACTCTGGACTCTCTGCTTCAGCACCAGCAGACTGCAGTGACCAAAGCAACACGGTCGCCGGTCGCCACCCGGTACTGTTTGTAATCTTGATCCTACCAGGGTAGATCCGAGGGGCTACTCGCTATAGGGTAAACTAAAACCAAGGACACGTTCTAGACAGAGAGACATGGATACGGAGAGGATGGACAAGGGCTGTCGAACCTAACACTCCAGAGGGGGAGGGTTCAGAGGACGTCATCACGTTCATCTGTGTAGTCTACGTACGGGCAGCGACGGTCGATGAAGAGGGAGATGAAGACGTCGATGTCGATGGAGCGGGCGGCGCCGGCTGGTGGCTTCCGTCACTGGCTGCCCCCTCTCTGATCGGATTAGGGTTTAGGTGTCGGTGGAGAGCACGGCTCAGGTCAACCTCGTGATCAGAGCCGCCGAGCCCCACCTCTTTTTATAGCGCAGTGTGACAGGGACCCTCTAGCCATGGTGGGCTGGGCGCCCCCGATAAGGCGCGAATCAAAGGCCCAACTGAGCCGTTGGGTCCGGTTAGGATTAGAGATCAATCTAACAGGTACTGCTAGTGCTAGGTGTCCACCCAACGCCCGTGTGGCTCGTGTCTCCTCATCGTGAACTTGCGCCGGGCGAGAGGCCGGCAAATGTACCTGCGGCCTCGCCTGGCGGCCTGAGCACGCAGCGGCCAACCCGGGTCGTTGGTTTGCGTGGCAGTGTGGGATCAATCAACCAAACCAACTGGGCGATCGATCCGCGCGCGTAGGTTAAATCAACAGCTTGTTCGGTTGGTTGGTTCATATCGTTGCTGGTTCGTGAAGAAATACTGCTGACTGGTTTGTGTAAGAGAAAAATATAATTGCGGCTGAAAAATTACAATCGCGCCGGCGCGGATCGCCACCAGGGCAACCGAAACAGAGACGGTGCGCCCGGCACGCTGGTCTCGCCTGCCGAAGCGCGGATCGATGGGTGCGCCGTGCGCGCGCGGCGGATCCGTGGACCCGCACCCGGATGTGGCCGTCCGCTAACTATCAGCGCCCGTATTCGTATCATCCGGCTGATGCTGCTTGCTGCCCATTGATCGAGCCATCGCCTACCGTGCCCTACTGCGCGCGACGAGGGGCGTGTTCCCAGCCGTCCCGAGCCGAGCGGGTGCCATGGGGTGGGGTCGCTACTCTGCTGGTGCCACGTGGACAGCGGTGGAGGAGCCGTGGTGGAGCCAATCAGCTCCACTTCTGCATTGCATGCATGCACGAGCGGCATGCGGTGGAACGGAACCAACATCCGGGCGAGGCGAGCGGACGCGGATGTTGACGCGAGGACCTGCCCGGGTGAGGGTGGCCGTCGGCGTCGGCACATCATTGCCATGCGTGGCAACTGCCCTGATCGGCTGGGGCTGGCTGACCAGCCCTCTTATATATACACTATTTATATAAATCAATCAAAAATACTTCTCTCTCACAGGCTCGACATCATCCCCGAGTCTCCGACTCGGATCACCGAGCCGATTGGTCAAGCGGATGCGTTCGCTCCACTGCCTGCCGGCGTCCCCGAGGGGGCGAGTGCGTTTCAGGCGAATGTGACTTGGAGGCGCAGGATTGAAAAAACATCAGCAGCGGATACTTACACACAACGATTAAGCCCTTGTTTAATCCTTTTCATAGACGAAAAAATGAAACATAGTTTGGAGGGCAGGGCGTTTCGTGTTGGCTCCGCTAAAAATTGGCCCATGGGCTAATCCTTTTCCAAAAAAATGAAACAGAGGGCAGGGCGCTCGTGTTGGCTCCGCCATGGCCCATGGGCCAAAGCTAGGCATAGCTTTGTGGTGTTGTGTTGTTCGCTGCTTGCTGCTTCTCTGTGGCCTGTGGGTGGACTAGTACGGACTCCTCCTACGCCGATGGCAGCATTGATGGCGGGAAAGACAGTGCCCAGTAAATGGCCACTGCCCCGCCATTAAGGCGTGTGCCTGCCATCTCCCACTTCCCTCTCTCCTCCCTCGCCCCGCCCCTCTGATGAGGCAATAAATGCCTGCGCTACGCCCATTAATGTCTCGAGATGGAGAGCTACAGCAACTGGACGGTGGTGACCACACGTCCGCCTCTCCCACTCCGGCCTCATCTCTACCTTGCCCTTTCTTCTTCCTCCTCGCGTCTGTCTGTCTCGGCATTCCGCCATAGTACCTGCTTCCGCCATAGTGCGAGGAAGAAGACCTGCTAGATTGCAAATTTTCTACATCTCAACACCTTAGTGCATTTCGTTCAGTATTTGTTTGTCCGCATATATTAGACTCAAAAGATGCAAATTATGGTTACTTTTTTTATCTACATTTAACGCTCCATACATACGCTAAAAATTAATGTAATGGAAAAAGAGCCGATCGAGCAGAAGCTTCGTTCCCTCGGCGGCAGGAAACCAATGCAATCAGGCGTGACAAGTTAGGCCGGCCTTGGGATTAGGCCGTCACTTTGGATGCTAGATGACCTATATGCATGTGCCGTTTGTTCGGCAGTCGAGATCACCATAAACTCTGGATCTGAGATGTGTACCCGTTTCGATCCTTGAATGATTCCCCCTCGTGTACCATCCGACTAGATTTCTTGAGGATGATGCATACGGATACGGCTGATTCATTCACTCCGTAGTGAAGTTTGCAATGCATACGGAGTACTACGTAGTGAAGTTGCAATTCATACGGCTGACAGTACAGCAATTGACAGGTTTAGCCAAAAAAAAAAAATTAAGACGTACTATGGCATCTGGTTTTCGACTACGGTGAAGAAATGGTATCGATTTCATTTCTTGTAGGTTGATTGATATAATTTTTGTAGGATGATGTATTTTTTTGTACACAAGGTTCCGAAAAGGATGATGTAATTTTTTGTACAAAGCCAAGAGTGCAAGACGTTTGTGCAGGTTGATTGCAGAGCGGAAGGGATGATACGCAGACGCTTGTTAACACGGTAGCATGGCTTCTACTGAAGCCCTAGAACAGTACAACTATACTCATATATATGTTCATCATCCATCTAAAAAACTTCACAGCCTCATCATGGCCATGTCTGCCTTTCTGAAGGAAGAAGATCTCATCATCTAGATCCTGGTCAAACACACAGAGCGAGAGCGAGAGAGAGATGCGTAGTTGACCTCGTCGTACACAACTTTTGTACAGAGAAAGTTGTGATCAAAATTCCCCTGAAACAACAGAGCCAGGCAGGGCAATGCTAGACGGTTGATTTCTTCTCTTGTTGCGCTTCACAAGCTGACCACGTGCTCACGCCCTCTTGCATGCATCTGATGAGGGCGTCGCCGGGCCATTCCTTTCCTCCTTGGCCGGCGGAGGCCGCCGCGGCGGGGCGGCGCACACCGGGATCACCGACCGCACGCTCACTGCCGGGGCGTGGAACCCGCCCGCGGCGAAGGTTCTCGGCGCCGCCGCGCCGCCGTGGTGGTGGTACGCCGAGGCAGCGGCAGCAGGCGCGTAGTAGCACGGCGGAGGCGGCGGCATTGCCTCCGCGGCGACCGCGACCCTGTCCCGCACCATGGCCCGCTCCAGCATCCGCACCAGCTCTGCCGCCGCGGCGGCGTCCCTGGAGCCGCACGCCGGTTGCTGCAGCAGGTGGAGGGGAGGCAGGATCCTTGGGCCGGCCGGCGGCTGCACCTGCAGGGGCCCCGTCCTCGGCGGCTGCGGCTGAGCAGCAGGGGTGTTCCGAGGCCGCCATTGGTGTCTGTACAGCGACGGGTTCGGAAGAGCAGAGGAAGAAGAGCCGATGCCGCTGTGCTTCTGCAGAGGCGCCGCCGCCTTGCCGTCCACGTCGTCTCGCGGCTTCAGCGCGCCGAGCACTCTGGCGACAACCACGTGCTCCTGCTCGTCGCCAGCGCCGGGCTCCTTGCGAGCCTCCGGCACTGCAAAGATCATGGCGTGGGCCATTAATGATGCTCTGTGACGCGTAAAGATCTGCAAAAGATTTGTCTTTTCGGGCCTGGCAGGCTGATGACGTACTCTGTTTGAGCGAGGACCAGGCGGCCATGGCGGCGTTCTTCTCCGCCTGCTTCTTGGTCCTGGCGGGGTCGCCCGCGAAGCTCATGCCAGCGAGCTCGACGGTGGAGGAGAACACCGGCGAGTGGCCCGGGCCGGAGCGCACCGTGGTGTACGCCGGCAGCTTCAGCCCCGCCCGGTGGGCCGTCTCCTGCAGCAGGTTCTTGTACACCCCCGTCTCATCCTATACAATGCACGCACGGTTTCACTTCCACGTCAAGCTCGGCGGCAGCAAGAAGCAGAAACAGAGCACGCGAGACGATGACGGTGGTGTGGTGACTTACGAGGACCCGGGCGGCGAGGGAGGTGGACGGGCCGCGGAGGGAGAGGCGGGCGAGCGCGACCTCGGCGGCGGCGTGCTCGGCCTGGCGGAGCGTGGTGCAGCCGCTGGGGCCCTCGAAGGTCTCGCCGTTGAAGGTGACGGCGGCCCGGAAGCGCGGCGCGTGGTCGGGGCCCTCGCGCGTGCACACGTACGACGGCAGGCTGAAGCAGCTCCTCTGCGCCAGCTCCTGGAGCTGGTTCTTGTACATCCCTACTGCTGGGCAGTGTGCTCCTCCCTCCACTACTTCCTAGCTGTATAGTTCCTACTATAGTATCCTACATATACCTATCTACCACTCCGTCGTCTTCTTGTCGTTCGTGGGAGAGATCATGGCTTCCTGGTCGCGCAACGAGAGAGAGAGAGAGAGAGAGAGTGGGAGGCTGTGGTTATGGCGCTGTTGGAAGGAGATGAGGAGGGGAGGAGGAAGAAGAGGGGGAGGTGAACGTTTAAACAAGTGAGGGTGTGTAGACTGCAGAGCACCCCCAAACGGTGCAGTGTTCTTTATCTGCCCCTCCCCTCCCCTTCTCTCTCTAGCCTGTTGAGTGTTTCTCTCTCTATTTGTATTGGACTGATCTTGAGAAGAGGTGGGTGGAGGGAGATGGGCACAGACACCTTCTGGTATTAATGGGGCATTTATGGTGCTTTGTAAGCATGCTGGATCGATCACACTTGCACAGAGCCCGTCAGCCGGTCAGAGAGAGCCCAGAGGCCGTCCCTCTCCCTCCTCCCAGAGCTCGATTCCGGACCCGGAGTATCCACCAGTCCGCCACCAGCCCACCACCACCGCATGTTTGCATGTGTGCCCGCGTCGCATGTTCGCAACACGTAACCTCACATGTATGCGGAAGGTTTTCTTCCTTGCTGAATGCGGCAGAAACGAAAGGAGAGGAGAGTTGGAGGGGGTTAAGATCTGCGTTGATGCACCGAGTGTTAATCACTTATTGTTTGCTGACGATTCACTGCTACTTCTGAAAATTAATGGACGAAGTGCACATCATTTACAAAATATTCTTGACTTGTATGAGATTTGCTCGGGGCAAACAACCAACAAAGACAAATCCTCAATGATGTTTAGTAGGAACACAGCTGAGAGGGATAGGTGTGACGTGCTGTCCACTCTGAACATTACTACATAGGCTATAACAGAGAAATACTTGGGGCGCCCTATTTATATGGGTCGGTCGAAATAAAAAACTTTTGCATATTTAAAAGATCAGGTGTGGAAACGAATACAAGGTTGGAAGGAAAAGCTCCTCTCTAAAGCAGGGAAGGAAATTTTAATAAAGGAAGTGGCTCAAGCTATCCCATCATATGCTATGTCTCGTTTCGACCTTACTAAAACACCGTGTGATAAAATCAGCGCCATGATCTGTCATTATTGGTGGTCACAGCGAGACAATAAAAACGAAATGCATTGGTTGTCTTGGGACACGATGTGCCAAATGAAGGATAAAGGAGGATTGGGATTCCGTGATTTACACTTGTTTAATTTAGCCACGTTGGCTCGCCAGGCATGGAGGCTGGTTGTGGCGCCAGATTCTCTCTGTGCTCCTGTGCTTCGAGCTAAGTATTTTAGACACGGAAACCTCCTGGATGTAGAAGAAGGCCCTGGAATATCTTATTCATGGCGTAGTATTGTCCAGGGTATAAAAACACTAAGGCCATGTTTTCATCCAGAATCCAAACTTTGGCGCTATATAAAAATAAGATTTTTCGTCACATCAAACTTGCGGTACATGCATGGAGTACTAAATGTTGACGAAATCAAAAACTAATTGCACAGTTTGGTTGTACTTTGCGAGACGAACATTTTGAGCCTAATTAGTCAACGATTGGACAATTATTACCAAATACAAACGAAATGCTACAGTGCACTATGGTGCTATAGGATTTCAGCGGCGCCAACTTTGGGGGCAACTAAACGCGCCCTAAGGCCTCGTTCGTTTAGCGGGGATTGAGGGCTGGAAATAATCCAGCTGATCATTGCTACTATAAATAGACTTACCATTCCATCCGGAACTGTTCCAGGCCTCCATTCCCTAGTAAACGAACGGTTCCTAAAGGCGGGTATAGGGAGTGTTCGGCAGGGCTGAAAAATAAGATAAAATACTGTTCCAGCTCATTGTTATGAGAGAAAAATATTATTTTATCTGAGAACACTGTTCACAGAAACAGTGCCCGTGTAAGTGCGCGCCCCAGCCCTAGCCTAGCTGTCCAACCAGCCGAACGCACCCATAATATGGAGAGCGGGGGATGGCAGCCGGATTAACATTTGGCTTGATCCTTGGATGCCTAGAGGTGTGACAAGAAGACCCATTACTCTGCAGGGTCAATCCCTTGTCACGGGGTTTCCGAGCTAATTGACCCGGTATTTGGTGACTGGGACCATGACCTTATGAAGGACATATTTTGGGAGCAAGGTTTTCACTCTCTCTTCATCACATCAAATCTTTGAACACATGCATGAAGTATTAAATGTAGATAAAAAAATAACTAATTACACAGTTTAATTGTAAATTATGAGATAAATCTTTTGAGCCTAGTTAGGCCATGATTGGACAATAATTGTCAAATACAAACGAAAATGCTACAGTGTCAAATAATGATTTCTAACCTCAATCTAAACAAGGCCCAAGATGTGCAAGACATTCTAGCAATCCCGGTCCACATAGGAAGAGAGGACATAATTGCTTGGCACTTTGATAAGAAGGGCATGTTCTCAGTTAAGTCGGTATATCATACTCTGCATGATCAAGCTACTCGAGCAGCCAAAAAAACAAAAAGGAGAGCCCTCTAGCGCTCCCCAAGGGAAAAAGCTGGAATGGAAACAAGTATGGAAGTTGAATTGTGCCCGAAAAGTAAGACATTTTCTTTAGAGGTTGGCACACAATAGTCTTCCCTTGCAAATGAATATCAAGAGGAGAGGGATGGATATAGACACAAGGTGCCCGATTTGCTGGAGAATGAACGAAGATGGTGGTCATTGCTTTCTGAAATGCAAGTTTGCTGTCCAGTGTTGGCGCGAAGCTCTACTTGAAGAAGTTAGATCCCTGCTCCTCCAGAAGCATTCGGCCTATGAAGTTGCGACAACCGTGCTATCCTTGGATGATGAAACTTGTCTCAGGGCAGTGACGCTGATGTATGCCTGGTGGGAGACTAGAAACAAAGCAAATGCAGGGGAAGGAGTGCAACAGCCGAGCCAAGTCATCAAGCGGGCTGCCACTTTGGCGTCACAGTCTAAGCCGACAAAGACAAAGGATAGGAGCAGCACACCACAGTCACAGAGATGGGCTCGTCCACCAGCGGGATTTATAAAGGTCAATTGTGATGGCTCCTTCTTCTAGGAGACTAAGAGAGGAGGATGGGGTTTCATTTTTAGAGATCATCAAGGAAAAGCTCTCATGGTGGGTTTAGGATCCCTTTCAGCCGTCGATGATGCCGATTGTACAGAAGCCCAAGCGTATGTAGCTGCTCTTCAAGCGGCATCGAATCAAGGTATTTCTAGAATGATTTTGGAGACTGACTCAAGTATCACAGTGAAGGCCCTGCAGTCAACCGAGCTGGATTTAAGCCCCGCCTCTGTCCTTTACAGGGAAGCGAGGGATTTGATTAGATTTTGTTTCGATTCAGTTCAAGCTTGTCATGTCCCTGATCGTGTAATATTCGTGCTCATGAATTAGCTCGGTTATCTTTTGGTTGGAACCCGGATCAACCCCATGTTTAGGTGGATCCCCTCCCCAGCTTTGTAATCGACCTAGTGGTTCGCGACTCTGCTCAACCTTCTGCTATTGAATAATAAAATCTGAGGAGGTTTGTTTCAAAAGAAAAAACACGTAACCTCTCATGAACTCGCCTGGGTACCTGCCTGCCGGCCGCCTGATCCATCACTTCACTGCTGATCAACGGTCGAGATCAACCATATCAACGGGCTATGCCGCCTGGACCAGGCCAAACGAAATGAGCATGTCAGTGACCTTGGCGATGCTGTCACGGCTCAGTCCACGGACTCCTCCTTTCTGACTTGATGCTGATGTGTGACTTGTCAGTGGGATCACTTGTTGTTCATGCGTGTAGTGAAAATGCTACGGCGTGAATCGTGCTTGCACTTGTTTACGCGTATATAGTGAAAATGCTACGGCGTGAATCGTGGTTGAGTCAATTAGATCCTTCTTAGTGGATGATTTTATTTACGTTCCAGTTTCTAATACTCGATGTGTCGCAAAACAATATAGTTTTATCTGCATAAACTCATTTCGTCTAATGAAAATTTCACCATATCTCTTTACCTATTATATATCATGTCAACTTGTCCTGTTCCAGGATGACTTTGCCTCGGAGGTTGACACGCTCCTGGCTTAGCCGTGATATTGCGCGGCCTCAATGGCCGAGCGCGTTGTCAGCTAGCTCGGAGGTCGTAGCCTAGTTGGCTCTTGTCTTGGCGTTGGCAGGTTTCGGCAGTTGTGATCACCTCTTCTTAGTTGTTACCGTAACTTCTTTTTGTGTTTTCTTCTTTTCTTTGTGTTCATTGGTCCTCCTCCTCTTTGGTAAGCGGGCGTTTACCATTACAGGGGTAGCTTGTAATATCTCTCTACCTTTTCTTAATGAAATACGTGCCATAGACACGGTATCGAAAAAATATCATGTCAACTTATTTAATACAATAAACTCTTATTCAGACTGACCTTATTATTGGTCAACACACGAGTGCATGACTTAGTCATTTAGCAATAAAATTGGACAGGATAACTGTAGGTTTAGTAATAGTGAGCTCAACTTGACCAAACAAGTAGAGCATATACATAGCCTAATGTAATATTTGATGTTTCAAGAAAACATGGGCATTGATAAAGATATTGCTCTACATGCGAATGTAACATCGTGAATTCGTGATGGTTTTGTTTAAAAAAGTACTGTCGTAGCCGTTTTAATAAATATGAGACCAAAATAAAGTTTAAGGATTGAAATAACACACCTTTTATGTTTGAGGACCAAGATGACGCCCACGCAAGTTCGAGGATCAGACATGAACTTCACTCGTACATAAAAACATGTGCTATGATTGTCAATCTATCTATATCTATGTGTATAACTAAAAAGTGATGTTTATTGATTATTACTACGCCGCGTCGGCCATTCATTCATCATCGACATCTGATGAACTAAAGTTTCAACAAAAGAAAAACTTAACGAAAAGTTGACAAATCCTAGCTGCATCCTGCAAGTGGCAAGAAAACACCACGCCGCAAAGCGTCTACATTATCAAATATTTCCCCGTGTCATTGTCAAAAATCTCCATTCAACCATGCTTAAACCCGGTCAAACGTTAGAACGCCTTCCCGGACGCTCAGCCGTTCACCAACTGCTCGCGGAACTGAAAAAGTCAAGAAAGGCCCCTCGCAGTCCCATCATCCTCTCACGATTTCTCTCTGTTTTTTTTCCTCTCTTCTTCATTTTTCATAGAAGAGACCCACTGGAATTATGGAAGGCGAGCGCAGAACATGCGCACTGTCCCGCTGCCAAGTGGATCCCACCCGTAAACTTTAAACTTCCTAGGACGACTTTGCCCCGGAGGTTGACACGCTCCTGGCTTAGCCGTGATATTGCGCGGCCTCAATGGCCGAGCGCGTTGTCAGCTAGCTCGGAGGTCGTAGCCTAGTTGGCTCTTGTCTGGGCGTTGGTAGGTTTCGACAGTTGTGATCGCCTCTTCTTAGTTGTTACCGTAACTTCTTTTTGTGTTTTCTTCTTTCCTTTGTGTTCTTTGGTCCTCCTCCTCTTTGGTAAGCCGGGCGTTTACCATTACAGGGGTAGCTTGTAATATCTCTCTAATTTTTCTTAATGAAATACGTGCCATAGGCACGGTATCGAAAAAATATCATGTCAACTTATTTAATACAATAAACTCTTATTCAGACCGACCTTATTATTGGTCAACACACGAGTGCATGACTTAGTCATTTAGCAATAAAATTGGACAGGGTAGCTGTAGGTTTAGTAATAGTGAGCTCGACTTGACCAAACACGTAGAGCATATACATAGCCTAATGTAATATTTGATGTTTGAAGAAAACATGGGCATTGATAAAGATATTGCTCTATGTGCGAAGGTAACATCGTGAATTCGTGATGGTTTTGTTTAAAAAAGTACTATCGTAGCTGTTTTAATAAATATGAGACCAAAATAAAATTTAAGGATTGAAATAACACACCTTTTACGTTTGAGGACCAAGATGACGCCCACGTAAGTTCGAGGATCAGACATGAACTTCACTCGTACATAAAAATATGTGCTATGATTGTCAATCTATCTATATCTATGTGTATAACTAAAAAATGCTGTTTATTGATTATTAGTATACCGCGTCGGCCATTCATTCATCATCGACATCTGATGAACTAAAGTTTCAACAAAAGAAAAACTTACAGAAAAGTTGACAAATCCTAGCTGCATCCTGCAAGTGGCAAGAAAACACCACGCCGCAAAGCGTCTACATTATCAAATATTTCCCTGTGTCATTGTCAAAAATCTCCATTCAACCATGCTTAAACCCGGTCAAACGTTAGAACGCCTTCCCGGACGCTCAGCCGTTCACCAACTGCTAACTGAAAAAGTCAAGAAAGGCTCCTCGCAGTCCCATCATCCTCTCACGATTTCTCTCTGTTTTTTCCCCTCTCTTCTTCATTTTTCATAGAAGAGACCCACTGGTTTTACGGAAGGCGAGCGCAGAACATGCGCACTGTCCCGCTGCCAAGTGGATCCCACCCGTAAACTTTAAACTTCCCGGTCCCACTACTTGCTGACGCGGTGGCACACCGCCCGCTGCTACGCGCACGCCGCTGTGTACCCCCAGGTCAGGCCGTGCGTGCTCCCCACTCCCCCAGGCGCATTTCTCTCGCGAGTGCTGGAGCGAGGGGACTTGCCTTCTCCGTTTTCGCGCACATCCGCCGTTTTACCTCGCCGTTCCGCCGCGCCATCGCATCGTCCGCGCTCCCTCTTCTCGTTCTACCCCGGTACGACTCGACGGCGGCCGTGGGCGCCGGAGGTGCGGCTCCGAGGCTGCAGGTGGTGCGCTCGGTTCGGGAGATCTCGGAGTTTGCTGCTTGCGCGGTCGAAAAGGGGCGCCGGAGGAGGAGGAGGAGGCTGTGCAAGCTGTGCTGAGCTAAGGGTTCAGGGTTCGGGCTCAGTGGAGGTGCAGCGGCAGGAGGGAGCTGGAGATGTACGAACCGCCGTCCCGAGGCGGTGGGGGAGCCGGCGCTGCCGGAGAGCAGCCTAGGGTTTACCAAGTTTGGCGAGGAAGCAACGTAAGCTCTCGCGCTCTCTCTCTGTTTCTCTAACTCCTGGTTTTGGATTTTGTGGGCTTGTGAACAGTGCATCTGGATCTGGGCGTACGGTGATTAGCAAGGGTTTTGTGAGAAGACGGTAGGGTCCCTGATGCGATTCTGCACGAGTGGTGGGAAATTTAGATGCTGCGGTTGTGCGTTAGGTTCAGGTGCCTGTGGTCTGTGTGATCCTGTGCTTGAAATGTAGGGGTTTAGTCATGGAATTTTGGATTGTTGAGTATGTTGATGCCACTTATGTCTTAGTGTTTACCTAAATGTGAAAATGTCACTGGATAGTACCAAGCATGGAGATGCTTCAACTTTCTGTGCCTTAGTTGTTGTGCCAGCTTGGAATCTAGTTTCTATTTCTCTCTTGCGGGAGTCCTGTTTGCTTTCATAGACACCAAGACCTATCCATCTGTCTCCTTTTCCTTGTAGCTTCGCTTCAAGCTTGGGCATGCTTTTGTTATCTCGGGCATCATAGAAGACAAGAAACGGTTTTTACTTCATTTGTATTGGCCTATTGGGTATCATAATGGGAATATGCATAAGAACATGATTTTGTATTTTCTTCTGTTGATCAAATTGTGTGGACATAGTAGATTGCATAATGGCAAATTTCACCGGTTTTTACACTGATCTGGAATGAATCATGAAATGTGGATCGAAACTAAGAAAAGCACATGCTTTATTTAATTTGAACATTACGCTGACGACATCCAGTACAACAGCTGCCTTTCATACTTGTAGTGTACTGATCAGTCTGGGCAGGACATACTAACTCTTGTGATGAAAGATTACTTTAATTGATGTAACTTCTGAACAGTTATGGAATGAATTATAAAACATGGATTGAAACTAGGTGGAGCAAAGGCTTCCTTTTCATTGGACACTACACTTAGTTTATTAGGTACAGATGGTTTATCTCTTTGTGGCATGTCGATCAGGTTTTGGTGTTTGGTGGGAAAATATGGCTTCGAGGCATTGAGCAGAATAACAAAATACTTAGGTTGGTGATGTGCATACCTACCATTTTGGGGAAAATCATTGGGGTACTGATGATGTTGGTCTAATTTATAGAAATGCCCTTTTAGATGTTTACTGAGAGTAGGGATACTTTTCATTCAAAAAACCCTTTTGTCCATTTAGGGGAACTGGGATACTTTTTATTCATCTGTGGGGAATCACCACCTGTTCATTGAGGGATACTTTTTATTCACCTACGGTGGAATCACCATCTGTTCACTATTTGAAACTTAACTTACTAGATGGAATCAGCTTTACTGGCCCTTGAGCATAATTTCAGCAGGCCGAGTTATAACCTGACGTATGTACCTGAGCTCACCATCTGTTGAATAAGCTGTGATGGGGAAACTTATTTTATCGGGCAGAACCTCCTTTCGTCCATCCCTTTTCTTCCTGTTTCCCCACCCATTCTGCTACTCTAGATTGTCCAATTGGGTGCAAGCCGACATCCTCAATCAATGATATGTACCAGTCCTCTTTCTCAGATTATAGCCTGTGGATTCTGTTTACGAGCTATTGAGGCTTCTTTTGAGGTGGTCTACGAGTACATTCCCAGGCAGGCAGTATTGTGTTTCATTGTCTGAGACTTAACAATGATTGTCAGCTGCTCACTGGCCATGTGTTTACTCATGCAATTCTTGTGAAGCATCTGCAATTTGAATTTCTTTCTGGTAGTTAGGCACACCTTCTTCCCTGCCAGTGGTCAGTATCCCTTGGCTTTTGGATAGCAAATCGGCTTCAAGTTTACAATTAATTAGAGAAGTTACCTGGCTAAGTTCCAGAAAGCATTGTATGGGGCCTGTCAGCCTGCCCAGCACTTCCTCCCTGTGAACAGAATCCTAATTTACACTATGACATGTTCTGATGCTTCTTTAGTTCATTATAATTCTTTACTTTATACAATATCCTTCTAGTATCTTTCTTGTATTATATGTTCATTTTCCAATGGCAGATTTTACAGCTGAAGTGTTGAGGGGATATTTTTGTTGTTTGGTATCTGATGGATGAAATGTTCTAACTCAACGCCTTCATATGTTACATGATGCTTTTTTTATACATATGTTTCGCAATTGAGTTTGCTGATATTCTTTTCAGGAGTTTTTCTTGCAAGGCCGGTTCATATTTGGACCTGATGTGAGATCCTTGTTTCTCACCATATTCCTCATCCTTGCACCAGTGGTGGTCTTCTGTATATTTGTGGCCAGACATCTTATCAATGACTTTCCTGATCATTGGGGAGTTTCAGTTATGGTCATAGTGATTGTCTTCACAATATACGTAAGTGCTGTTGTGCTTTCCAAACTTTTTCAAGGAATTTTGTGGAAGCTTGTCTGCAGTTAGTTATTTCATTTGGCAGTTATAACCATGTTCTCTTGCTTGATAATTGGATGTTCTGGATAAATACGAACTATGGCAGTGTACAGCAAGCAAATTGTTAATACATGGGGTGGTCCAATTTTTTTATGTTAGTTCACTGCTGTAATTCTGTTGTCTTACCACAGATCTTATTTAATCCTCATTTTTTGATGTTTGAATTCCAAATTTTTTTTCAGAGTCGTAGCAGTTGAACCCCTTGTGATAGTGAGCTTTTAGATCCCAAATAGTTCTGTTAGGTTGTTCGTGCTAAATGGATGCAGTTATACAAGTTGCTAATACCTGGAGATGTGTCTTGATTATGACATCTGTAAATGTTAGAAGAATCACCCTTTCATCTCCTACTATAACTAGTTGCTTATATTAAGAAGAAAGGAGTCCAAGATGATTCATAAAAAAATGTAACCACAACTAGTGACCTTAACATGGGCATCATGGCTGCAAACTGCTAAGCCCTTTGACTTCTGCCATGCACAATAGCTTGGCCTCATCTTTAATATCCTTCGAGGTGATGCTCATACTAGGTGATGCACCATTAAAACATACAACCATTTCTGTAGTATAACTAGTGAAAGGATCTAAACAATACAATGCCTAGAGGGGGGGGGGTTGAATAGGTGTATCTAAAAAATTCTACACAAAACTCAAGTCACTTGTCAACAACTGTCAGAAGTCCCGACACTTTGGGTCGGAACTCCCGACGTCGTCAGAAGTTCCGGCGCAAACTGTCAGAAGTCCCGACGCCTACAGGAAATGTACTACAAGTGCTAAAATGAACTTTGTGACTTTGATAACTTACAACCTCACTTCCTAGTGGTAAGGTAACGCGTTGGAGTTGCTCCTTTAACGCCGAAAGGTCACCACTCCGTAGATCGAGTCCAAACCCTAAGAAATTCTTTGGGGAGGAAGAGACACACAAGAACAAAAGTGATAGCACAAGTCTCAACAACAACAAGCACACGGGACACAAGGATTTATCCCGAGGTTCGGCAACCCCACAGAGGAGCTCCTACGTCCTCGTTGTTGAGGTGACCACAAAGGTCGGAGTCTCTTTCACCTCCTTGCCTCTCTCAAAGCAACCACAAAGGTCACTCGAGGTTTCCACTAAGAAATCGAGGGTAATACAAACTTCCCAAGGCTCTTCCACAAGATGGAAGCTCTTGGGCAACGCCTAGCCGGCTAGGGCAAAGCCCCAAGAGTAATAGGTGCAAATCCAACCGGCTTGACGAAGAAATCTAGTGCTCAAGCTTGCCAAAGTGATTTTCTCACTTAATCCACTCTCCTATCACTCAAATCCTTGGGGGGAATCGAAGTTAGGAGCAAAGGGGAGAGTAGAGGGGAGCCTTGAATGCTTGGGAGCTGTTTTGGACGAATGTTGGTGGCAGTGAATGAGTGGGTAACGGTTAGAAGAGAGGAGAGAGCTATTTATACTCATATTAGAAATCTAACCGTTCAGATCTACGTCGGAAGTTCCGACGCAGATCTCGGGACTTTCGACCCATAAAGAAAACACTGTTCACGCAAGGTCAAAGTCTGCACGAGCCAGTCAACGTCGGAACTCCCGACTTACGTCGGAACTTCCGACGAGCGCAGTCAGCCGGCCAGCTAAAGTCCAGGTGTCGGGACTTCTGACTGTCGGGAGTTCCGACTCACGTCGGAACTTTCGACGGCCATGGTCACCGCGCAGGCTAAGTGACTGGGCATCTGGACTTCCGGAGTGAGTCGTGTCTTCCGACACCAAAAGTCACCGAAAACTATTCTACGTGCTCGTGAAGTGCTAGAGTCTCTCTTTAGATTTTACTTTTGTGCTTGAGCACTCTATCTTCTCAGACCAACTAAGTTTGCACCCCTCTTTATAGTGCGGCGGATCCTAAACTTAGAACAACAACAACAACAAAGCCTTTAAGTCCCAAACAAGTTGGGGTAGGCTAGAGTTGAAACCCAGCATAAGTAATCAAGGTTCAGGCACGTGAATAGCTGTTTTCCAAGCACTCCTATCTAAGGCTAAGTCTTTGGGTATATTCCATCATTTCAAGTCTTCTTTTATTGTCTCTACCCAAGTCAACTTCGGTCTTCCTCTGCCTCTCTTCACGTTACTATCCTGGCTTAGGATTTCACTACGCACCGGTGCCTCTGGAGGTCTCCGTTGGACATGTCCAAACCATCTCAACCGGTGTTGGACAAACTTTTCTTCAATTGGTGCTACCCCTAATCTATCACGTATATCATCGTTCCGAACTCGATCCCTTCTTGTATGATCGCAAATCCAACGCAACATACGTATTTCTGCGACACTTATCTGTTGAACATGTCGTCTTTTCGTAGGCCAACATTCTGTATCGTACAACATAGCAGGTCTAATCGCCGTCCTATAAAACTTTTCTTTTAGCTTCTGTGGTACCCTTTTGTCGCATAGGACACCAGATGCTTGGCGCCACTTCATCTACCCTGCTTTGATTCTATGGCTAACATCTTCATCAATATCCCCGTCTCTGTAGCACTGATCCTAAATATCGAAAGGTATCCTTCCTAGGCACTACTTGACCTTCCAAACTAATATCTTCCTCCTCCTGAGTAGTAGTGCCGATTCATATCTCATATACTCAGTTTTAGTTCTACCGAGTCTAAAGCCTTTTGACTCCAAAGTCTCCCGCCATAACTCCATTTTCTGATTCACTCTTGTCCGGCTTTCATTAACGAGCGCTACATCGTCCGCGAAAAGCATACACCCAGGGATGTTCCCTTGTATGTCCCTTGTGACCTCATCCATCACAAAGGCAAACAAATAAGGGCTCAAAGCTGACCCTTGATGTAGTCCTATCCTAATCGGGAAGTCATCCGTGTCTCCATCACTTGTTCGAACTCTAATCACAACATTGTTGTACATGTCCTTAATGAGCCCGACGTACTTCGTTGGGACTTTATGTTTGTCCAAAGCCCACCACATAACATTTCTTGGTATTCTATCATAAGCCCTCTCCAAGTCAATAAAAACCATGTGTAGGTCCTTCTTCTCCCTATACCGCTCCATCACTTGTCTTATTAAGAAAATGGCTTCCATGGTTAACCTTCCGGGCATGAAACCAAATTGGTTCATAGAGACCCGTGTTATTGCTCTCAAACGATGCTTGATAACTCTCTCCCATAGCTTCATAGTATGGCTCATCAACTTAATTCCCGGTAATTAGTACAACTTTGAATATCCCCTTTATTCTTGTAGATCGGTACCAATATACTTCTCCTCCACTCATCAGGCATCTTGTTCGATCGAAAAATATGGTTGAACAACTTGGTTAGCCATACTATAGCTATGTCCTCGAGGCATCTCCACACCTCGATTGGGATACCATCCGGTCCCATCACTTTACCTCCTTTCATCCTTTTCAACGCCTCTCTGACCTCAGATTCTTGGATTCTTCGCACAAAACGCCTATTGGTGTCATCACAAGAGTCATTCAACTGAAAGGTTGTGTCCATATTCTCACCATTGAACAATTTGTTAAAATACTCTTGTCATTGATGTCGTATCTCATCCTCCACCAAGAGATGCTCCCTTTCATCCTTAATGCACTTAACTTGGCTGAAGTCCCTTGTCTTTCTCTCACGAACTCTAGCCATCTTATAAATGTCCTTCTTTCCTTCCTTCGTACTCAAATGTTGGTAAAGATCCTCGTACGCTCTACCTTTTGCCACACTTACAGCTCGCTTTGCAGTCTTCTTCGCCACCTTGTACTTCTTTATGTTGTCCACACTCCTGTCATGGTACAAGCGTATATAGCATTCTTTCTTCTCCTTAATAACCCTTTGGACTTCCTCGTTCCACCACCAAGTATCTTTAGCATCGCCTTCACTTCCTTTGGTTACTCCACACACCTCTGAGGCCACCTTCTGAATGTTGGTTGCCATCTTCTCCCACATGTTGTTTATGTCCTCTTCTTCCTTCCAAGAGCCCTCTTTGATAACCTTTTCCCTGAATACCTCTGACGTCTCCCCTTTCAGTTTCCACCACTTTGTTCTTTCAATCTTAACTTGTTTATCCCTACGGGCACGCACCTGAAAACAAAAGTCTGCCACCAAAAGCTTATGTTGAGAAACAACACACTCCCCTGGTATCACCTTGCAACCCAAGCATGCTTGTTTGTCCTTTCTTCTTGTGAGGACAAGTCAATCTGGCTAGAGTGTTGTCCGCTACTGAAGGTCACTAGATGAGATTCTCTCTTTCTAAAGAAAGTGTTGGCTATCATCAGGTCAAAAGCTACCGTGAAGTCCAGAACTTTCTCCCCCTCCTGATTCCTACTACCATACCCAAAACCTCCATGAACTGCCTCGAAACCTGCGCTTGTAGTACCTACATGCCCATTAAGATCTCCTATAAAAAGCTTCTCACTACTAGGTACAGCTCTAATCAGGCCATCTAAGTCTTCCCAGAACTGTCTCTTAGCACTCTCATCGAGGCCTACTTGGGGGGCATACGCACTAATTACATTCAAGACCATATCACCAATGACAAGCTTGACTAAGATAATCCTTTCTCCTTGCCTTCTCACTTCCACCACACTATTCTTGAGGCTCTTATCAATCAAAACTCCTACTCCATTTGACCATTTCTATTCGCAACTGTCCCTGCGTACCAAAGCTTGAAACCTGTATTGTCCACCTCTTTCGCCTTGTGACCCTTCCATTTAGTCTCTTGAACGCATAATATATTTACACGCCTCCTAGTCGCGGTATCAACTAATTCTCTTAACTTACATGTAAGCGACCCTACATTCCAACTACCTAAACGGATCCTAGTTGGTTCGACTAGCTTCTTTACCCTTTGCACCCGTCGACTCATATGTGAAAACCCTTTCTCATTTTTCACTACACCCGGGCGCCGATGTAGCGCGCCACTAAGGATGCGACGACCCGATCCTTGCTCACTTGACACCGTGCCTAGATCGCGACACGGCGCGTCACGGGGGTGACGACCCGGCCCTTGCTCATTTAACACCATACCCGGGTTCCGATATGGCGCGTCGCTAAGAGGGTTACGCCCCAACGGTTTTCTTTCGGGTTTCAAAAAGGGCAGACCCAGTGCCGGAGGCTCCCACATGAGTGGGGTTTGGGGAAGGGAAAAACCGAGGCAAGCCTTCCCCCCGCAAAATCCGCGGAGAGGCTATTTCGAACCCACGACCTGGTGACTCAGTGAGACAGCTCTCACCACTACACCAGGCCTGCCCTTCAACTTAGAACAAAATATAAAACCCTTGGAGAGCGCTTTGAGTTCGTCCGCCTTTACAACTTCAAGAATTGAGGGATATCATCTCATCTTTATCAACTCTTTGAATCTTTCATGGAACTAATAACTGCAACATATCTCATTAAGATTACATTAGTCCTTAATTTGGATGTCATCAATACACCAAAACTCACATAGGGGGCAAATGCACTTTCAACTAGTTTCTTTTCTTTTACAACTAATTTAAAGATTGTGGACAAAGACGAAGCTGTAACTATAGCCACCATTGCAATGATGGTTGTTTTGCATCCCAATCTAATGGAGTGGCGTGAGTAGCTCTGTGGTTGGTCTGTCCTACATGAATGATGGTTCTTTGGACCCATTTCCACTTTACTGTAATTGATTGTTAAATATCAGCAATGTGGAACAATTCTCCCAGTTTAAGCAACAAACGAACGAGTCAAAATCTAGAGGTTTTACTGAAAGCCATGAGAAACACATTGGGTTGCGGTTATGGAGATATTACTGTTGTTGTCTGATAGCATTTACATGTCATGTGCAAAAGATAAAGGGTATACTACTTAGTTGACCATCGAAAACCTCAAAGCAAAAAAGTTTTTTTTTTATGCTTTAGGATTATCATTGATGAAGGGCGGGCCTGGTGCAAGCGGTAGAGTCTTACCGCCTGTGACCGGAAGGTCCCGGGTTCCAGTCGCGGTCTCCTCGCATTGCACAGGCAAGGGTAAGGCTTGCCACTGACACCCTTCCCCAGACCCCGCACAGAGCGGGAGCTCTCTGCACCGGGTACGCTATTTTTAGGATTATCATTGAAGGTAATAATAAGCTTTAGTGAGTAAATTAATCCATCAGCAATGTGAGGCACTGTGGTTTGCTGTACTCCTTTCTTCGACTGAACCTTATTTCTTTTGTTTTCCAGGATTTGACACTGCTGCTTCTTACCTCTGGTAGAGATCCTGGTATAGTGCCACGTAACACCCATCCTCCTGAACCTGAAGCTATTGATATGATCAATGATGCTGGAAATGGCCAGACACCACAACAATTGCTGTTGCCACGGACAAAGGATGTTATCGTAAATGGGGTCATTGTGAAGGTCAAGTACTGTGACACCTGCATGCTGTACAGACCACCTCGATGCTCACACTGTTCTATCTGTAATAACTGCGTGGAGCGCTTTGATCACCACTGCCCTTGGGTTGGGCAATGCATAGGATTGGTAAGTTTGGGAATGCCTTGAATAGCTTAACATCATTTTTGCAATATGCGTTGCAGTTTAATCTTGTATCCAGTAGTGTTATCAGAAGACTGCTCAGCAGTTCAATATTCATCCAGTATTGTTATCTGAAGATATATCTCAGCATTTTGATATTGCATCCAGTTTTGTTATCTGCACATTGCTCAGTGGATTTCTTTGTAATTAACAGCAGCTTTTGTTATTTGGTGCTAACTGCACGTTTATCTGCTGCAGCGCAATTATCGGTTCTTCTATATGTTTGTATTCTCTGCAACATTACTGTGCCTCTATGTATTTGGCTTTTGCTGGGTGTACATTGTGAAGATTAGAGACGCAGAACAGTCGTCGATCTGGAAAGCAATGTTGAAGACACCAGCATCAATTGTTCTGATCATATACTGCTTCATCTGTGTGTGGTTTGTGGGTGGTCTGTCTGTCTTCCATTTCTATCTCATGAGCACTAACCAGGTTGGTACCTTGTCAACGTTTTAATATAGTTGGTTTTACCTGTAAGCATATTGCTAGGAATTGGTTGTTTTACTCGTAAGCATATTGCTAGGAATTTCTAATCACCTTTCCTATCATTTGCAGACAACATATGAGAACTTCAGATATCGCTATGATCGGCGGGCCAATCCGTACAACAGAGGGATCGTGAACAACTTAATGGAGATATTCTGCACCGCAGTCCCTCCTTCCAAGAACAATTTCCGAGCTAGGGTCCCAGTAGAGCAAGGTTTACAGCAATCACGTGCGCCAGCAAGGGGTTTCATGAGCCCAAACATGGGTAAACCTGTTGGGGAACTTGAATTGGGTAGGAAGCCAATATCATGGGATGAACCTCGGTCAGCAGCTGATATCAGAGACTTGGAGGTTGGTCTAGGCGGTCTATTGGACGAGAAGGAAGACAGAGTAGCCCATGCATCCCCGGATCTGAGCAGAGAAGCCCTTCCAGACCTTGTGGAAGGGAGGGCTGGTGTGCATTCGAGGCGATCAAGTTGGGGTCACAGAAGCGGGACCTCGGAGTCCATGGACAGCGTTGCTGTGCAGATGGGAACTGGAGATTCTCACTGGGGCTCCATTAGCAGTGTCCATGGCACAACCAGTGGAGCTCACTAGCAAGCCACCACGTCTTGACGGTTCTTTTTGTGAAACCTGCCTGATACCAACAACGAAGAATGTGTGTTATCTGTTCTCTGTGCGCCTGTGCCTTCACTCCATCTAGGATATACGTCTGCAGTGCTTTCTTACTCAGCGTCCTGGGAGCGCATCAGTTCTGATGTGCTTCCCGTTTGGTGTTCTAAGAAAAAAAAATAACAGAAGAGCTCCTTAACTCAGTTGTTTGGATTATCCACTGTATATAGATATGTATGTTATTGCAAATTGGAATTGCCTGTAGAGTTTGGCTTTCGCGCATCCTTAGTTTCTTCACGCCCTTTAAATTTGCACCCTGTTGGAATGGAATCGCATGAGCTTTCTATTCACTTTTGTGACTTTGTGAGCATGTCAGCTGGTGACAGGCCGAGTTTATTAGCGGGAAGTTGAGCGCAATCATCCCTTGGGTGCTTAACGCCTAAATGGTCAGTCATCCCTTGGGTGCGTAACACCGAAATGGTCAGTGCGAATGTTCAGAAACGATGGAATCTCTGTTCCCCTGTCGGGACACAAGTAGGCCACAGGAGCGTACGTACGTAGTGCCCTGGCTAATGGCCTCCAGCTCGAGCAGCACTGAGGTAGGCTCCACCGCTCAAGCAGAACACAGCACTTGAGGTACGCTACTAGTAGACAGATGCTACACATATACATGGTGGATACTTTCATGTGAGCACGTCCTAGACTCCCTACATAGCACACGCGCAAGCAATAATACCAAGCGATTCCAAACGTCCCGAGTACGAAGTGCAGTGAGCAGCGAAAGAAGATAAAGATACTGAGATACAGATGGTCGGTCGAGTCTGAGTCAGACGGTACGAGGAGAAGCACGCAACAGAGCATGCACCAAGCAAGCCCAGATCGATCCTGCAACAACTTGCTGCTCTGATCCTTGCACACTCTATGGACACTTTGCCTTCTCTCCCGTTCGAGCCTTCGAGGAAATGCACGCTTGGTGCTGGCCGGCCGGCAAAGATTCCCTCCCAGTCGTTCGGCCCCGCGTAGCACGAGCGGCAAGGCACTTGTTCGTCCTCGCGCATCCTATCCTCGCCGACTTTATTTTCCGTTCTCGGCGAGAGGCGCGGTTCGGCAGCGCTGCATTATTGTTCACCAGCGGCAGCTAGCAGCTGGACGCCCGGAGCTCAGTAGGGTACAGTAGGCGCCAGTTAACCGGGCACCAGCAGGCCCACAGGGCCGCAGGGAAGGCATTTCCGCTTTGTCACCTCCGCGCAGGAAAGCATCCTCCTCCGTTTCCGTTGCCGAGCTGCGCTCAATGCCCTCGCTGATCCCGCGTGCCGCGTGCATTCTTACCGGCTGCGACTCTGCGAGCGATGCCAATATGCGATGCAGCTGTAGGGGTCCGAGGCAGGTCTAGGAATCCACGATGCTGACGTAAAACTAACCGGTCGATCGACAGAGGCTGGCCGTAACTTTGGCAAAGAAAAATGCATATCGCTTCGCACTGCGAAGTGCGTATGAAACGTTCGACCAAACCATGCATGCATACACATCGGCACACGTGCATGTGCGGTGGATAACAATTCACACATGCGTGAATGAAGTGAAAAGGAAAATAAAGGGCCTAACCCTGGCCGCACGTGCTCGCCAGTGAAGAAAGAGAGGGTTTGGCGTTCGGCCCTTCGGCTCATGTACACGACGACATATGCTGAGCTCTTCGTCATCTCGATCTCTTGCCGGTGAAAAAAAATCTTGTTGGGCGAGTGGATACGTGTCGGTGAGTGATTAGAGGTCTAGCCCTAGTAAAAGTGTCCATTCGGTTCTTGTCTTCTCCTGTGCAGACTTTACCAATCAAATTTTATAAACTGTCACTTACTGTATGAAAGAAGAGGCATTATTAGGTGTTAGCAAGGTTTTAAATCCCCCGGCTTGAGGAGTTGAGGTAGGGTGCAACTATCTACGCTCATATAAATTTAATGGCTATAACCCGCTAAAGTCTCATTTAGCTCGATCAAGCTTTTAAATCCCCCGGCTTGCGGATGCAGGCGTGAGCACACTCTAAAAATTTAGAACGGTACGTATGGCCGCCGTCCGCGAACAGGGCCGACCTGTCTGTTGTTGTCTAGTTTGGAGTCTGGATAGTCTGAGTTGTGTGCTTTTCTTTCCCTAGGTATTTAAGATTTGGCCTAAGGTTGTTGAGACTTGAGGCGAGGAAGTAAGAGAGCTTTTTCACCGCAAGAGTGTGGTGGCGAGAAGAGTGGTGATGAAGGTGCAAGTGTGTGAGAGTGTGTGTTTTGGGGAGGCTTGGGCCGGGGTGTGTGTAGGAGGTGTTGGACACAACAGTTGTTTATATTTAGACTTGCCCGCTTGCTAGGTTGTACACAAGACCAAATAAATAGGTCAAGCCCTTGCATACCACTTTACATAAAAGCTTAAGCAATCATAGGTAGGGTGTTTGATAGGACAAGTCATACTGAAAGATCCTGTGTTTGCATGGAGCACTGGGTCATCAAGTAAAAGCTTTTCACGGTCTTGACTTCTGCTGCATACCGTTGCCACTAGGGCCCTATTTAGACTGGGGTTAGGAATCAGTATTGTAGCACTTTCATTTGTATTTGACAATTATTGTTCAATCATGGTCTAACTAGGCTCAAAAGATTCGTCTCGTAATTTACAATCAAACTGTGTAATTAGTTATTTTTTATCTATATTTAATACTCCAATTTCAAAGATTTGATGTGATTGTGTGCAATCTTAGATTAAAATGTGAATTTGTTTCTATCCATTTTTGATCGGTTTCTTTTGCTTAATTTCTTTGTGTGTCTTTGTCTGAGTTTCATTTTTTGAGGTTTCTTGGTTACATATAATAAGTCTTCTAGGGTCATACCTACATCCACTTAGTCTTCAATTCCTTTGAGGTGCATTCACTCAAGTTCATCCATTTGCATCGATAAGACTTAAACCTTGTATACTAACAATGCAAACAATGTTAGTTATATTGGACATGTTGTCGCACGAAAATCATAGATACCCCATTGAAGATACTTGGCGGTTCATATATCTAGCTCCTAAACATACCCACCATTGTTTGTAGGGGCTAAGACCAAAATTTCACTTCAGTAGGGTCGTACTCAATCCCTTAAAAAGGGAGACCCCTAAATCACACTAATAGCCCCTATTAGCATGGGTGTCCAGGCTACCAAGCCATCCCCCATCCAGTGTTTGTGTGTTGTTGACTTGTGCATATGCTCAAGATGCCCCATGCTAAATCTCTTACACCGCCTCCCAGCCACCACACTTTGCCCTCGGTGGCAGATCCGCCCCACACAAGACCACGCACTAGCGGATCTACCCCCTACACGAATGGCACCTCCAAGACCCTCGTTGCGCGTCTCTTCAACTAATTGTCGATGTCAAAGCCTTTGACTCAGATGTCCTTCCCTTCGTCTTGCTCCTCCTCACCATCTCCACCACCCAGAATTCCTTGTGCACTAGATTTAGGAGTCTGCCATCAACTTTTGCGTAGGGTATGGTGCCCCTTCGTCTTAGGTCCCCGTTTTTGTTGTCTTGGCGATTGAGTCCTGTGTTCAACATGGCAATGTGACGAGGCATTATAGGGGAGCGGCATAGTGGTGCATCAAAAGCCTAAGGGTGATGTTGCTTGGCCTACCCACCCACCCTTGGGAAAGAAAGAGACATCCGCACATGCACACAAAAAGCAATGAGGGGTGAGAAAGAAACAAAAGATAGAGGAAAAATCATATAGGAAAACTAGAAGGCACTAACTAGAGGGTTCCAATGTCATGATAAAAATAAATGGGGCTACAACTGGAATTTGAGCATAGAATTCGGGGCTTTAGAAATGTAGGCAGCCCCATTTCATATTTGGAGCTATCACTGAAGATGGCTGTTGGTGTTTATTAACGTGTCACTTGTTTGAAATACTTAGCCACCTATTATAAACATATATCTCCTAACTTTACTAGGTTGTCATCCATAATGATGATGCCAGAGATATGTTTTGGTACTACGTAGTATTACTACTAGAATAACATTAAGCATTTCTTTATTAATTATGTGACTAGAGAGAATATATATATATATATATTATATATATATAAATCTATGAATGAAAAGTATCCACAAGCGCACAGATAATATACCATTGTAGCATTTTATCCGAGAGTATTCCAGGCATCGTTATTTATATTTTTACCACTAGGAAAGGTCTAGCATGGACATGTATTGATAACTTATACTATTGAAGGAGAAATAAACCATAACAAATATTCTACTCACAACAGGGTAAGTCATAAGATAAGAGATATATAAATGATAAGTAATGAGAATAATAAATGACTCAGAGCACTCCTTTCTATAGCATTAGCATGGTCAGGTAAAATATTAGAGGAATAATTTCTAAGTCATTCTTAATTACAAGTCAAAGCATACATTTGATTAGTGCAATTACACCTATTAATCATGGCTAAGATCATCATCATATCTACATATAAGGGATATTACTAAGGAAGATTGAAGGCAGAGCTCGTTCTACCTTCGTAATCGGACCCTACGTGCACCTATATTTGGGGAGTGGACTACAAAGGACTCAACGGGAGTGTCACATCCACGATCTACCACATGACCTAGAATATAGGGTGTATCCGAAGGTAAACAACGTATAAGCACCACACTTACACAATGTCGACCACCCACCCCGTGTACTTTAGAGTGAGCGCTATACGAACTTGTGCATAAACATAATGATAAACTAGCTATACTAAGTATATAATCAAAGTAGACGTTGAACATCATAATGCAGAACATGAATAAGATGAACACTGAGATTGTCATAACAATTGTAACTAGCATATAAAAATAATGAAGAAACAAGAGAGAGGGGTACAAAGTTTATACCGAACCACGCTCTTGACAAGATCGGGAATCCAAGCGAAGTCCTGCTTGCCTCCCTCTAGATCTATCCTAACTTGCTATCCTACGGAGGAAGAGCTCTGAGGATATTAGGGTTTCTGTCTTCTCAAATGACTTGATGATTTATGATTCTTAGGGGAGACAGAGGCTGGATTATATAGCCCTGAGGGTCCAACATGAACCCTTGGATCAAACTGACTTAAGCAACGACATAGATGCATCCTCAAAGGCGGTGGGAGACCGCCATACGCAGCTGGCTGACAGGTGGGCCTAGGAGGGGCTGAGCGGCCCCACCTGTCAGGGGGTGTGAAAGGTCCTAATGGCTAGAGGGAGGGTGAATAGCCTAATAAAATTCTACAACAACACTTAACAAAATGTGTTAGACAATTTTACGGCGAAGCGAGTGTTGCGCTAGCCTACTAAAATGCAAGCCACCTACCACAATTCTATTTTGAATAGTGTATGTCCACACAATAGCTATGACACTTAGCTAAATTAGTGTGCTCTCAAAGACTAACTAAAGAGCAACACTAATCAAACAAACAAGCTCTCACAACTAGCTACACTAAAGAGCTTGATAACTAGTTTGCGATAATGTAAGAGTGAGCAAGAGAGTTATACCGCCGTGTAGTGGTAGGAACCAATCAATCATAATAATGAATACCAATGTAGACCAATCACCTCGGAATCAAATGATGAACACAATGATTTTTACCGAGGTTCACTTGCTTGCCGGCAAGCTAGTCCTCGTTGTGGCGATTCACTCACTTGGAGGTTCACGCGCTGATTGGCATCACTTGTCAAACCCTCAATAGGGTGCCGCACAACCAACACAAGATGAGGATCACACAAGCCACAAGCAATTTACTAGAGTACCTTTTGGCGCTCCGCCGGGGAAAGGTCAAGAACCCCTCACAATCACCACGATCGGAGTCGGAGATAATCACCTCCTCCACTCAACGATCCTTGCTGCTCCAAGCCGTCTAGGTGGCAGCAACCACCAAGAGTAACAAGCGAAATTCGCAGCGAAACACAATCATCAAGTGCCTCTAGATGCAATCACTCAAGCAACGCACTTGGATTCACTCCCAATCTCACTATGAAGATGAATCAATGATCTAGATAAGTGGGAGGGCTTTGGCTAAGCTCACAAGTATGCTATGTCAATAGAAATGGCCAAAAGTATGAGCTTGAGCCGGCCATGGGGCTATAAATAGTGCCCCAGTGAAATAGAGCCGTTGTACCCCTTCACTGGGCACAACGCGGGGTGACCGGACGCTCCGGTCCGATCGACCGGACGCTGGCCCTCAGCGTCCGGTCACGTGATTCACGCCACGTGTCCCCTGATTTAAATGCTGTTCGTCAGATTTCAACGGTCGTCTACTGACCGGACGCGTCAGTTAGAAAGTGACCGGACGCTGGACTTCAGCGTCCGGTCGTTTCCAGTAAGCTCCCCGAGGCGTATTTCTTCGACCGGACGCGTCCGGTCCACTTTGACCGGACACAGACCAGCGTCCGGTGCTCAACCCTAGCCACTGTGCCGTCTGACATCACGACCGGACGCAGCCTTTCAACGTCCGGTCGCTGAGTGACCCAGCGTCCGGTGCAATACCCTCGGCACTGCGCAGACCTGTCAGTTTGACCGGACACACGCAGCCAGGGTCCAGTGCTTTCAGACCCAGCGTCCGGTCAGAAGACCGTAGCCAGCGTCTTCGCGATCAACTCGTTTTCACTTCTAACTTCTTCACCCTTGCTCCTATGTGCCAACCACAAGAATTTGCATCCGGCGCAATAGAAAATAGGCATTTCATATTCCCGAAAGCGCCGAATCCCATCTCAACCCTGCAAACACCACTTCCTTTGTAAATGTGCCAACACCACCAAGTGTATCACCTTGTGCACAAGTGTTAGTATATTTTCACAAACATTTTCAAGGGGTTTAGCACTCCACTAGATCCTAAATGCATATGCAATGAGTTAGAGCATCTAGTGGCACTTTGATAACCGCATTTCGATACGAGTTTCACCCATCTTAATAGTACGGCTGTCAATCCTAAATGTGATCACACTCTCTACGTGTCTTGATCACCAAAACAAAATAGCTCTTACAAATTATACCTTTGGCTTGAGCTGTTTGTTTTTCTCTTTCTTCTTTCCAAGTCGAAGCACTTGATCATCACAATGCCATCATCTTTATCATGCTATGATCTTCATTTGCTTCACCACTTGAAGTGTGCTACCTATCTCATGATCACTTGATAAACTAGGTTAGCACTTAGGGTTTCATCAATTCACCAAAACTAAACTAGAGCTTTCAGGGTGTCCCTCTGCTTCGGTGACGTGGCTTCTAGACCTTTCTAGAGTCTTCCCACGTAGGTACCACGGCGGAACTCCGTATTTTCCTTTGATGATGAGGTCCTCATTGGCGGTTTTCTGATTAAACTCTGCTGGAAATACAGGTTCACCAAAACTCGTAGAATTTATTAGTTTAAACCCCTAAATCTTCATTGGTGATTATATTTATGCCCTTATACATGTTTAATTAACGGTTTATAATGGTTGTTAACTACTGTCAACAAGCTTCCCCAAACTTAACCTTTGCTAGTCCCTTAGCAAAATTAAACTTAGCAAAAATTAGATCAGGAGTTGCTTCAATGCTTTCACTCATCAAAAGTACACATACGTTCAAACAAGAATTATCCTCCGGATTAGAATAAACCGATCTAACTTTCAAACTCACCCATATTACTTTCAACCATGGGGCTTCTTAGCCTTCACTTGGGTCTTGAGCAATTCAAAAGACAGAACGATCAAGCCAAGCACTATGTCTCTAGTTCTTTGCTCAACCATTATTCCGGAGTTTTTGTAAGTTTTCAAAATAAAACTCAGAGCTTCCATTGTATGACACTTTAAGTCTCTCAATATATGTGGTATTTGTGGATCCTTACCAAAGGTAATTGTGATGCTATGCCTTTCTCTTCCTACAACTAGGCTTATGTGGAGCTCATAGAAGTGGAAGAAAACATAAAGAGCATACTTGCAATACATATATTGTAAAGTCAAACCTCGGATCCAAAGAGAGTTAAGTCATACAATCAAATCAAGATGTAGATGTATGGTGGATATATATAGTGGCTAACCTAATTCTAATATACTCCTTGAAAACATATCTCTCATTTGAAACTTATAAACAACTTTGCAAGAAAACAGAGGCTATCTTATTCATCTTCTTTTTCTTCTTCTCAGGCGGGCATCTGAGTACCCATTGTTTTAGTAATTCGGACACTTATCAATTTTTTTCTTATCTCTTTTTTTTTTTATGAATAACTTTTGCATAGCCACATGTTTCTTTTCTGCAACAGAACTTTTGAGAGAAAGCAATAAGAACTTAGAGCATTTATTTGATGGATATCCTATAGGGCATATTTTTTGTGTTCACTCCCAGTGTAGGAGTAAAACATTTTTTGGTTGGATCTAGATGGAATGGTATATTTTTGCGCCTACCCCCAGTGTAGGAGTAGTGCATATTTAGGTGGTGTGTACGTGATCTTGATTTCAAGAGCATGACAAACCTCTCATAAGGCATCAACAAAGCTTAACTAAACTCAATGCAAAACAAGCAGCATATATGAGTGGAAGTTTTTCAAATCAAAATATCATATATATAGGCTGGTAGGAATTCAAACTTTGTCATATATGAGCTCATCATGTAAGATTTTTATGTTTTTCAAAAGATAAATCTCTAGAACTTAAGTATCACTAGGAACAAAATAAACAACAGATAAGACCTTCTCATATCATATCCGTCAATTATTTAGACTTAGATCAAGCATATGCTACCCACAAGATAAACACAGATTTACCAAAACTCGTGGAATTTATTAGTTTAAACCCTAAATCTTCATTGATGATTATATTTATGCACTTATACATATTTAATTAACGGTTTATAATGGTTGTTTACTACCGTCAACAATGGCCTTAAACGAACGAATAAACAAACTACCTATTGTACTCCCTCTATTCATGTTTTTGCGAGTAGTACTCCCTCTGGTTCCAAATGCAAGTCATTTCAAAATTCTCAAACTATGACAATGTTTATAGAAAAATGTATATAAGTCTACAACATCAAACTATTTTCAGTAAATCCGCCATGAAGTTTGTTTTGATATAGTGTTTAGGCCTTGTTTAGATTGCAAGTTTTTTCACTCTCTCTCCATCACATCAAATTTTTGGACACATGCATGGAGTATTAAATATAGATAAAAAATAACTAATTACACAGTTTGATTATAAATTAGTGTTTATTTGAGCCTATTAGGCCATGATTGGACAATAGGGATACAAGGCCTTATTTAGTATTATTAGGGATGTTAATATATTTACAATAAATTTGGTCAAAATTAGTGAACTTTTAACATAGAACAAGACTAAAACGACCTATATTTTCAAACGGGGAGTAATAGTATCCAATCCCAGCCTAGGACTGTACATTACACATAACGTGTGCGCGGTTAATGGGTAAAGGTAACATACACGTGGCAACTAATGGGACCCAGAGCTCTTCTATATAAACACTGGTTCCCTGCACAATGTCATTCATCGCAGAGGTACACGAGTTAAGAAGGCAGTAGTGTAGTGGCGTAGGAGCTCAGTTGGCCTCTGAGAAGAACAGAGACCGGGCTTGTCGTCACTCTCTCTCACACACGAGTGTATAGGGCTTCGGCTTGCCTGTTACTGTCGCAATGGCAGGAGGGCTCTTCTCCATGGAGCACCCATGGGCCTCTGCTTTTGGCATTCTAGGTACGCTGCTGCCTGTATGTGCACCACCAATGCTGAATTGCTCGCCGTACGATACAACTCGCACGCACGGCAGCATCATCTCCTTTCTGATGTTGCTTATCAGTGTTGTTTACACCGGCTGAAAATATTCATACAGGTTTACTGACAGAAATTACCGTCTCTTCCTTTGTTAATTTCCTGCAGGCAACATCATCTCCTTCCTGGTGTTCCTCGCACCAGTGTAAGTGCACTGTATATACGATCGATCATCTATCCTAAAAGTTGTTAAGCAAGTAGCTTGCATGCTTAGCTTCTGAATCTGAAAAACACGTATGTATTGATGTGTGTGTGCAGGCCGACGTTCCTTCGCGTGTACCGGAAGAAGTCGACGGAGGGGTTCAGCTCGGTGCCGTACGTGGTGGCTCTGTTCAGCTGCACGCTGTGGATCCTGTACGCGCTGGTGAAGACCAACTCCAGCCCGCTGCTGACCATCAACGCCTTCGGCTGCGTGGTGGAGGCCACCTACATCCTCCTCTACCTCATCTACGCGCCGCGGGGCGCCAGGCTGAGGACGCTCGCCTCCTTCTTCCTCCTCGACGTGGCGGCCTTCGCGCTCATCGTCGTCGTCGCCGTCGTGCTCGTCGCGGAGCCGCACCGCGTCAGGGTGCTCGGCAGCATCTGCCTCGCCTTCTCCATGGCCGTCTTTGTCGCGCCCCTGAGCGTCATCGTAAGCTCACCCCGCTAGCTCGACGCATGATCTGCGTCGTCTTCTCCATCGATCAGCAGCTTGCTTGTGAATTGACGTGCGAATTGGTTGATCGGATGCTGCTGTACTTGCAGTTTGTTGTGATCAGGACCAAGAGTGCCGAGTTCATGCCCTTCACCCTCTCCTTCTTCCTCACCCTCAGCGCCGTCGCCTGGTTCTTGTACGGCCTCTTCACCAAGGACCCCTACGTCACGGTACGTAAATACTCCATAAACTCGTCATATCACCACTTCACCAGGCCTTCAGTTTTGATTGTTTGAGTTATGCACGACACTCCCGTGGACGTGTTCTCCTTTCTGCAGCTCCCGAACGTGGGCGGCTTCTTCTTCGGTTGCATCCAGATGGTGCTCTACTGCTGCTACCGCAAGCCCAAGTCGGCGTCGTCCGTGGTCCTGCCCACGACGACGTCCGCCGCCGCCGTGGCGCAGCTGGAGGCGGAGATGGAGCTGCCCCTCGCCGCCCACCAGGCGGTGGCCGTGCTGCCCACGTGCGCGGCCCCGGTGCTGGCGGAGCTGCAGAAGCTGGAGGAGGCCATGGGGTCGCCGCGCAAGCTAGGCGGCGTCAAGGCCGTCTGACCATGCGTGCGCGTGGCGAGCTCGATCATCGCAGCACGCAGGCATGCACTGCGCGCCTGAACCGCGCCCGATGCATGCATGCCCTGCTTGCTGGATCAGTCGTTGCTTGCTTATTTTGATTATTATGACTCCGTATCATGCATGGCTTGGTAGATTCGATTATTTGCTGGCTGCCACTAGAGAGAGAGAGGCATATGTATGTCTTCTAATCGTTCGTTTGTGTGTTCTTAACTAATTATAGCTATATATGAGCTTTGTATTGGAGATGAATTAATTAATCTGCTGGTGGTTTGTGCAATAAAACAGAAACAGGGTGCACGCGCTCTTTAACCCGGCCGGTAATCTTTAACCCTACTAGGCTACTACTACGTACTATACATCAAGCTTGCGTTCACGAATGTCGCCCTAGCTTGTGCATGAAAGAATGGTACACTAGTGTTCTGTACCAACGCTGAAGTAACGCAGGAGGCCAGAACAGCCCGCCGGCCGTTCATTCGTCCTGGAGACCACCGTCCGTTCCGTGGCGTGCGGTCCCGGTGCTTCCGAGCCTGAGACGTGTCCGCACACGGACAGACCCAGCGGAACCAAGCGGCGCCCCACCCCGGGCCGGCCCCAGCCTCCGCGGTCCCGTGTCACCGGGTCACGAGGCGCAACTTGCAGCCGCTCGGGCACGCGGGGATCCAGTTGCGCTGCGCGTACGTGCTCGCTGGCTTCTGGATGGGTGTTCGATCCATCCAAAACGGCCGATGGGCCCAGTAGGAATTCCAACTGCACAAGGACACGGCCCATCAGGAATCCATAAGTCCAAACCGGTAGATAGTTCGGCCCATGTAGTCTAGTCAGCTGGCTTAAAACAGCCTACCACTGTGACCCGTGACCCTATTTGTCACAGCTTATAAATTATTTATGGCTAAAATAAACTGAAATCAACAGAAGAACACGTTTCTGGCTGCACTTTTTTCACCGCTCTCATTCGAACTAAGAAGTAGAGATTAGATCCGACTAACTCATTTTATCTGTGCTTTTACTTCATTTGTACGGCTTATCCGGAAAATGCTTTCCAGCAAACAGGGTTTAGTTCCTTCCGGAGCTCGAGAAACAAAATTAAAACCACATATTCGCGTGCACCATTTCCTCATCGCCCTTTCACTTGCCAGTGGGCCCAGTAAATAAAGGTAATTTAGGTAAAGAGGGTAAGAGGAGACCACACCAGAAGCTAGTGCTTGACCCTCTTCTCCATGTCTCACACGCCCGTCCAAGAGAGCCCGGTTCACATGCGCTTGTTCGCTTCCGCCTCATCGCCCCCGTCTCCTTCTCTCTCTCACTGTCTCCAATCTGGCCTCCATTGCGGGCTGTCCCCTCTTCGATTATTCCCAGCTCGCCGAGCCCATGGCCGCAATGGCGAGCAGCAGCCCCATGGCGATGATGGCTCCGGCTGCCGTGTTACTGGCGGCGCTGGTGCTGCTGATGCTCAGTGACGCCGAGGCCAAGTTCCTGCCCAACAACATCACCGTCGTTGGCTCCGTGTACTGCGACGCCTGCTCCAACAATACCTTCTCCAAGCATAGCTTCTTCTTGAAAGGTGAGTGCAGATGCTATCAGTTACACAGTTTCTGCATTGCCATTAGCGCCCTTGATCGTTGCCTCATCCTGCATTGTCTCTCCACATTAGCGCCCTTGATTTGCAGTAGAAGACTGCTTAGCTCTGAAATGTGCTAGAGAAACTTTTTTTTTTACATCAGGTTGTTCATTCCATGCTGTTCTCTGCAGTAGATTTACAAGTTCTTACCATACATTGACACGTTTTGGAGGATCGTCAGCATCTTTTTCCTGTCATCTTTTTTTGTTGTTCATTTTTACTTTTTTTTTAATAAGCAACAAGAAACAGATACGCAAGTGTGCTGAGTTGTTCAGGTGTTACACTGCCCTTTAGTTCTCAGCGTTGCCACAAGAAAGTTTTCAAAAAAAAAAAAATTATGTACTGAGGAGGTAATAAACATTTTGCATCCATCTGCTCTGTGGCTAATCAGGACAAACTTGGTTTGACAAATATGGGCATATGGCTTGTTCTTTGGTTTGGCTCATTTCTGCCTCCACTCCCATAAGGCCATAACCCGCAGTTGGGCTTTTGGCTCATCCTCTGAACGGGGTGTTTCTGTAACCGAGAGGTCCACTTGAAGATTGGCATACGTGTCTCACATAACAATTTGTCAATTCCCAAATGACTTCAGTTACCTGGAGGAGCTCATTTGCCATTGCGATGCAGTACCAGAGATCGAATTCACAGTTTTGTTTTGTTTTGTTTTTCAGTGACAAGCACCGTCGTTCTTCATTGCTTATTTACTTCATCTATTCTGAACAGCATGTGTTCCCCAAAATCATTATGCACTGGAATCTATAGGTAATACTGCCTCGAACGCCTCACCTCAGGTTCTGGAAGCCCAGCCGGTGCCATGGCTTCATCTTTACATTGAACTAAACATTGTACTAATAAGCACATGTACAATCAGTAATCAAATTATTCACTGTTAGATTCTATATAGATACATATAAACTCTAATAAATCTCTGTTTTTTAGAAGGCAAACAGTAGAATCAGTGGTGAATTTTACATTTTGTGGCCATCGCGTGTTCAAAATGACACCTTTTCGGTTTCTGTGCTCAGAGGGAGTGCCGATATTCTACTGTTAACCATCCCTGACATGTGACATCTGACTCAAAACATGATTGGGCTAACGGAACGGTGATAAATGGTGCGTGCAGGAGCCAGGGTGCTGATCAAGTGCAGCTTCAAGGTGAACTCGACGTCGTCCGAAGAGCTGTCCCTGGAAGCGGAGCGCACCACCGACCAGCACGGCGTGTACAAGCTGGACGTGCCCCCCGTGGACGGCTTCGAGTGCCGCGAGGGCCACGAGGTCCGGTCGGCGTGCCGCGCCACGCTCGTCCGGAGCTCCTCCGCCGCCTGCAACGTCCCGGGCCTCGGGGGCTCCACGCAGCACATCGCGCTCCGCTCCCGCGCCACCAGCGCCTGCTTCCTCAACCTCAACGCGCTCAACTTCCGCCCCGCCAAACGGGACGGCGCGCTCTGCCACGGCCACGGGGACGACGGGGGCAACGCGTTCGGTTCCTCGCTTTTCTTCTGGCCGTTCTTGCCGCTCTTCTGGCCGCCGTTCCGGGTCCCGGGCGGCGGCGCCGGCGGGACGGTGTCGTTCCCGTGGCCGTTCCCGGTGCCCGACTGGCTGGTGCCGTTCCTGCGACCACCATTCTTGCCATTCCCGCTCTACGAGCCGGCGTCTCCACCGCCGCCGTTCTACCGCTTCCCGCCTTCCCAAGAAGCGGCTTCTCGGCCTTGAAAGCCATGAGCGAAGAAGCTCGTCAAGATATGATATTTAGCTTTCTTGCCAAAATTATTTTTAGATTCTGTGCATTAGTGATGAGAAACTGATCAGAGGTCGTGTGACATTTTGTCCCATGTTAGGTTGACCTCCGTGCCATGCTCATGCATGTAGCATTGTAACTGATGCTTGATTGGCGCTGCCGTGTCTAGTTCATTGTGCTCATGAACTGATGAACATGTGGTCTGATATTTAGTACCCATCCGTTTCAAATTATAAGTCACTTTAATTTTTTTTATCTATTTTGCTACATATGTAGACATATTATTATATTTAGATGTATAGCTAAATGGACGTAAAAAAGTCAAATCGACTTATAATTTGGAACGGATGAAGTACTAGCTGCAATGGATAAGCTGTCTCCAATAGGAGATCCAATCAGGAGACCCAAACCTCAAATGGGTCTCCAATGTAATACCTATAGTAGGTAGATTCATTTGATGCGAAACTTGCATTTGAAATTTGGTTTTTGAGAGAGAAACACATGTAGCAATTTGGTTGATGAGCAGTGTTTTGTGAGGAGGAGCGGCATTTGGTGCGGAAAAAAACAGACCAAATGAACGGTGCCATAGCCTCCAACAGTGGAAGACCCATTTTGGGTGTTAAGAGAGTTATAACTCAAATCTGAGTATTCTCTTTACTGGAGACTCATTTGCAGAAAAGATTCTTTTTTAGGTCTTGTCGTTGGAGAAGACAAAAAAATGGGTATTGAACCCTTTACCTGTAGCGCCACACAAATATAAAATAAATCTTGTATTTTGGGTAACTATTGTTGGAGACGGTCTGATACTTGTTAGATCGTCTTTCGAAGGTTCAGCAAAAAAAAAAAAAAGGCATATATGGGTTACCTTACCGTGCAATAAGAATATTAAATTTCCAATGAATCGATCCACGTAGATTCTCTCAATAGTACTAATTGCAAGCCAATTTTGAGGCCTCCTTGTTAATTTCATGAGTCGTTATAGAATTCTAGAAGTTATCTCGAAAAAGGCAAATTAAAACATGTCATTGTTTGTAGTAAATAGCCATTATTAAATCTAATTTACTTTTAAATTTCCTATTTTTGCCATAATGAAAAGTAACCTAAACTAACTCCCTAAACATTCTTATAAATTACTCGCATTTACCATGAAAAAACTATTTTAAGTTTAAATTTATAGAAAAAACACCAATATTTAGATATCAAATTAGTATCACTGGATTATGTCCTAGTATATTTATTTGGTGCCATATAGATGATGTTACTCTCCTAAAAAGTTAGTTATTAAACTTAGATGGTTTGACTTTTGGTGATTCTATGATTTTGATTTGTTTCTCAAACACGCAAGAGAACTACGTGTCATTGAATTATTAAGATAGAAAAACAAATCCGATTACAAGCCGATTCCATGGCAAGGATTAGTTTTTTAGCACTTGACAAATAGAACAACCATATGCATCTTCCTAACCTAGAATCTGACCTTACAACTGGTCACAACCCACAACACTACCTTTTCGCTAATCTCATGTAGCACCACTCGGACATCAAGGACGCAACCATCGTAAACGCAGTGGTTCCGATAATTCCAAATCGTCCAAGCTGTTAGGATTAGATGATAATTAACGTCTCTGCGCTTTTGTCTTCAGGGTGCACCGCGTTGTCCTGCACACCAATGTTAGTAATTGATTTATTTTGGGATGAATGTAGTATACTAGTCCTTCGGGCGTGCCCATGCGCGCGGGCCACTGGCCACACGTTTTTTTTGAAAAAAAAGATATAATCAAAGTTGGCCTGTATGTTGATTTGAGAAAAATCCGAGGAGGTTTTCACAAAAAATGATGAGAGGGTTTGTGGGGCGCATGCGGATTTTCGACAAAGATAAGGGTTTTTTTTTGAAAAAAAACCTGGAGGCCATCCGTTCTGGACCGCGGGTTGATTTCAAAATAATCTGAGGTGTTTTTTGCAAAATATCCTGAGAGGGACTCTGGAGCGCGGGTTGATTTCCGGAAAAAAGAAGGGTTTTTTTGAAAAATGACCGCGGCTCGTCCGATCTAGGCCGTCCGCGCGGCCGATCGAACGGCCACGAAAAGCAGACGACGTGGCACGCTAGGTGGCCGGCTACTCTTTACGCTTTCTTGTCTTTAGATGCATATGATCACTTGTGTTTGCACCGTGTTTTTTTAAGAAATAGTCAACAACAGAAAATAACATGTAAGTCGATATTGAAGATAAACTTATTGTATTTTGATGAAACAATGTACATTTCTGCATTGATAATTTAGTTTGAAGCATTATATCTTTAAGAAAGATATACACCACTACTATCAAAGTTTATAGTTCTTTTTATAGAGGACTTCCATTATCTTAGGGGATGAAATTTTGATATGGATAGTACATATTATCTAATTTCACATAATTAAAAAAATATTCAAATTCAAAACAACCATATCTGATTGAAAAATGGAAACCAAGATATCTGTATTAGTTTTAAGGACTTTAAAAACAAATATGATATCTGAAAATTAGAAATATTAAGATTTGTATATTTGTATTCATTAAACCCAATATTCAATTATAATATTAGCTTTACGATTGGATAAAACATTTTCATATTTGTTTTCTTCATCGACATAAAAAGCTCAAAAAATATAACTGCAAAAGTAGAAAAAAGTAAAGTTATATATTTATCCATTGACATCTTGTTAAGATATTAACACGGTAATTGATCGATATATTGATTTTAATGTTTTCATTGACACTATTTGTAAGATAACATTAAAAAATGCTTGTTTATCAAATTAGTTTTAATATATATTCACTCAAAAACAAAAAGAATATTTTTAGCTCTAGAAGTGGTGAAGAAACAAAATTTTGTCATGGAATGTGTAGGATATCTGCATTCTGATTCGGAGGAATTGAGCGACGATCTGATTTGTTAAACCTGAAAGTGCAAATCCAATTCATATGATCCACTTTCCATTGTACTAGCTGAAACAACCGCTCATTGTAGTCAGACTACAAGAGAGGGTATGAAATAAGAGGTATAACAGATGGTTAAGTTTCAACTTAATAAACAGAAAAAAAACTTTGTTACAAATTGGGGTGACAAAAGTTTGGATTCATAAAGTATCAACAAATGACATGCGATGAGAAATGACATAGCTCAAGCAAAGGTTTCAAGTAAGGATCGATTGAATGCATAGTTACACAGGAAGGTGCAATGAAAAAGGGAAACGGCAATGCTGGAACCAGATGTTCGTCCCTGCTGGACGCCCCTATTGGAGGACCCGACGTCAAGAAGCCTATCCGCTCCCCTCAATTCACCATAGATTAAAAAAAATCACGCATCACCGCGATTGCGCTCCATGACCGGCTCCCCCGCCGCTCCCGCATGCCTCCCTCTCTACCGCGCCTCCCGCCAGCCTTCATCTCCACCGCCGCCGCGCCCGCACCACGGAGGCGTGCTCGCCGCACGAGGCTGCACCACCCGAGTGCTCCTGTCGCCTTCACCGCAAGCACCGTATCGCCGGGGGCAGCGCAGCCGCTCACTGGGGGCAGCACAATCGCCAGCCGCTGCCATCCTCCTCCTCCACCTTGACCGCACAGCTGGCTCCTGCTGTGCCGTTCTCCGCCCGCCTGGCTGCCATGTTTTGCTGAAAGTTCATGTTGCAAGAGTATGTTTCGAGTATTTCAGATGTTTCAGAAATATGTTGCAAGTGTTTCAGATGGATACTGCAAAAGTAGATCGAGATGTTGCAATGGTTGTACACATATGTTGCAACGGTCTGTTACCAATGTTTCATCTATGTTTTCCGGACATATATTGCAAGTGTGTTTATTTAGATGTTGCATATGTTTCACACATACGTTACATGTGTTTTATCTAGATGTTGCGTAAGTTTGCAATGGTTTTTTCAAGTGTGTTTTTTTAATATTTCAGAAGCATGTTTCAAGTGTTTCATCTGTCTTCGGACGTGTATTGCAACTGTTATATTTGGATGTTTTGAAAGCAGATCGGGTGTTACATCTCTCCTCCTCAACTTCTGATGTCCTCCTCTTGGCGCCGGCAGGGCATCCATACGATGCCGTGGTCAGGTCCTTCCGAATCGGAGGCGCTGCCCCCTTCCCCTCTTGTCACTCGGGCGGCCCGAGCCCCTCGTGGAGCGCACGGGCATCCGGATGCGAGCGTCCGTCCGGACGTCCTGGCACTAGCACTGCCGGAAGGGAAAACTATGAGTAGGTGGGCAAACACATATGGAAAATTGAAAACAAAGTTTGATTATTTAATATTTATGCTTGACAAAACTCAACATGAACAAGGTGTCAAAGGGCCATCCTATATGTTCACAACCTATGTCTATCCTGTTTGGAGCTCATGCTGGAGGCGTGTGGCCGTTGGGTGTACACATAAAGCGGGGTATATGATTGGTGTGGATTCTGCAATGGACAGCCTGTTCGCTGGTTCGATAAGCCGCTTGTACTGATTTATACGGCTAATTTATTACGAGAGAAAAACACTATATCATGACTGATAAGTCCTGACTAAAATCAACCAGCGAACAGAGGTATGGAACTACAAAAGTCTGGTTCATATCCGTGCCAAAAGCAGGCGTTACCCAATGCGCACGTGACACGGAGTAGGTACAGGTGTCCGTTGTAACCGATTGCTGAACATGAAGTTCATCAGGATTGTTAGTTTGTTACGTACCTCTGTCTTTTCTCCCGTCTTTTCTCCCGGACTCGAACATGGTACCTACGGCACGAATATGATGCTGCAGCCACAGACTCAGTGCAGTACGTCTTTCCTATCAGAATGAGAGTACAAGAAGCCAAACACTGTGAAGGGGCTTCAAGTATCATGCTTGCATCTTGGTTCCAGGTGTTGAACGCTAGCTGTAGTGTGTGTTGTCACGACTCACGAAGCCCGTGGACTGAAAAACCATAAAACAAATCTGCAAGTAGCTGACGTTTTTGAGCG